TATGATTTACTACACTATATATTATATATATTTAAATAATAAAATAAAAATAGTAAGATGAAATATTAGATAATATAGTAATGAATACCATACAAAGATTTTTACTTTTACAGTTACATGAATAAATTACATAAATAATACTAAAAACATTGCATATATATTAACGCGTATTAAGTGTACAAGCGAATAACGAATAATTTTTCAGTACAAGTTATTATTTAAAAGTGTTTCACACAACAAGTTCCACCACGGTAAAAATGTTGTGCTTTTTAGCTTTTGCTTCCAATAGCCAGGGCACTGACAAAGGAGAACGTACTGTGAAATTGCTACGTGACAACGCCAGACCACACACTGATTCTACGACGGAAGACATCACGAGGAAGTCTCGTTTGAGACGTCTCGCAGCTGTCAGTTTATTCACTAGACATTACGCGATTCCCGATTACTACGTACTTGTTCCGATCGATTCAACGCACCTTTATCCGATACATCTTTTCAATTATAGATACAGAAATCACTTGACGATTGGATCTTGTCCAAAGACACAGCATCTTTTCACGGTGAAATCCGTCACTTGCCTGAAACATGGCTTAAAGTTCTAGAAAGCAACGACGAATAATACTTTAACCTTCCGCCAGCGATATGGGTCGCAGAGTTGCAGGTGAAACTTTCATTGTCTAATTTCTCCGAAACGAAGGTGTCGGACTTTGTGATTTCCACACCTGAAACAGCTTACACACACCTGCCAGGCTTTCACCGCCCAAATATTATTGTTTACTTCGTTGAATCCGATTCAGAATTTTAATTCTGAAATTTCGAAGGTAAAGTGAGCATTGTGCGCTATTCAACGACTCGTATTGTCTGTCTTTTGGTACGTGAATTTGTTTATATATTTTATTTCTATTCATTGGTTTTCCGTCCCCTTTTTGCAGTTATTCATGCCGAGGATTCGAACTCGCGACGCGTCGTTTTCAGTTCTGGGCCTTAACGAGCGTAGCTGGCTGTCTATTCATTTTATGTATCTTCTAACTTCTTTGCGATTGTAATAAATTATTGTTTGCAATTTTTCAATTGATCTTTACAAATCGTTATCAATTTTGATAATTGCATGAATAAATAATCTACCCAAAAATCCCGGAAACTCGGGTCTCAGAATAATTGTACTTTCCAAAGGATTTGCAAATTTCTTCATACTTTTTCGAAAGATCGTAGATGTATAAAACCCCAGAATAATTTCTTTAGATCACGTTTATCACGAAAGTTCTTACCTCCAAGCGAATTCCTATTTTTTCATAACTCTCCGTTAGATCTTCGCTTTTATCGCAAAAAGTTTTAAACATTTGGCTGGAGCACCGCTTGCATAGTAAATTAGGAACTATAATACATACCCCGGAACTTGTTCAGATTTCTCTAAAGCTCAAAATAAAAAATTGCCGCTATATCTTCATTCTTTTTTTTTACAAACTTTGAGCTTCACTAAGAAATTATTCACTCGTACACCTAACAAATACGACACTACTCAAGAAACGACGTAATCGAACTTTCGCGGATCTCTGGAAAGGAAAAGGTTGAAAGTTACTCGACTGAAATAAATCTCTGGAAAGAAATCGTCGACCTAACAATGGATAAAGAGTCAGGGGGTGAAAAATTCGAATAAAAACGCTTAATGGGAAATGTAGCATTGTTGTCAACGCGACAATGACTAAGGTGCGTTCAGGGTAATTGTTGCGTGTAACAGTGTTTCCGTTGCGGGTCGAATAGGGCCCGGTGGGTCATGATTCGGATCGAATCCCGTGCATGCGAATCGCCAGTGGGTACAAGGCCCCTGCTCATTGTCATTTGCCGCCACCAGAGTGGTCCTTTTTGCTCGTATCCGTTGAAACCGGCCTTCGAGCCACTGGCTCCGGCAAAAAGCCCGACGAAATTCCGTTGCGATTGAACGATACGCGCATACAAACTCACAGACAGGCACGCACAGGCAAATAATAATGTCTAGCCGATCGAATACGTTCTGGCCAGGGATCAAAGTGATTATCGAAGCAACGAGCCAGCAAAGAGAAGAGCAAATAGCAGGCAATGACTTCGCGATCCAACGAATCGCAACCAGACCTCGACGAAATGAGGTGCACACGGTTATTGGTCGGAAGTAGACTATTTATGGCAATTCATAGCTCTATGAATAGAAATATCGCGGAGTAAGATATTTATGCAAATTCATATTTCTACGTCGATACAAAGATGGAAAATACTTTTAGTTGTTACATATTTGAAAGGTATTTTATACGTTTTCGTATTATGCGTTCTGTTTCGCAGCTTCCACATGAATCTCCTAGAGAAGTCGACAGCCTAGTCAGAAGTACATATTAGAATAACCGTACCTCTCGTTTACGGGGAATTTAAAGGTTTAAGAATGCGCAGAACGTATATAACACGGAAGAATCTGTGAAACATTTGTAGAACGTGGTAGACGAGGTAAGTTTCCTCTTAGATTCTATTTTTCTTAGTGTTATTGACTGGAAAACGAGCCAAAGCAAGACGAGGAATATGATCAAGCTGATAAAAGGAATAATATAAATTGCAGGCCTGAGAATAAAATAATACGCGAACGATAAGCTTTGATCGTAAACTAAGCAAAAATTGATAGAATTCGAGGAGAGACCGTGGCGAAATATGGAAAGAAAATTTGGCAAAAAATATGGACGACTTCGGACAAATATTCAAAATGAAAACTAAAAATTAAGTTGTCCTAATTGAGTTGATCCTAAAGATCGGTATGATCGATATGTTTGTTAGATCAGGATCGTTGCCGATGGAATATTTTCCAATCGTTGCATCGATAAATTTACATGGATAATTTCGATATAAGGTATCACCTTCTGAAATTACCTCGAAGCGAAGTGAAAACGCGATAACTAAAAAGAGAAAAAAGCAGGTCGACTCTGACTGGTCGGTTCTCGTTTCTTCATATACATTCCATGGTCATTAAGTGTGTAAAAAATAACGAAAGCGATCGTTCCTTTCCATCAACTTTAATTCTACGTAGGCTGTTCCGCAACTGCGCCCGCAATTGTTACCGTCACGCGATTCGATGTTTTGCGATCTCAGATACCAAAAGGGTATTGCCCTGAAGATTCTCAATTTGAGATGTTCAATGGCGAATTAAACGTGCCGATGATTCCGGTATATAGCCGTGTAACACGCACCATGCAAATTCGAGACTTCGTATTTGTATGGGTTTTATCGAGCTTCGCCTACAACGTAGTACAATTTAAGATTTAGTGGATTAAAGCTTGCTATCTAGATTTAATTACGTCCACTTTGCACGCGAAAAGATTAAAGTTACACGTTCTGGTTTTATTCAAATTCTTTCCACACGATGGAATTTAATTATTAGATTATTATCGTCTGAATTATATTAGATCCATTTTGCATGCAAAAGAGACTAAAGTTGCGATCTCTAATTTTATCGAAATTCTCTCGGAACAATGGAATTTATTTATTAGATTATTACCATATACAATGGATATAGAAAATATCATTCGCCGTCTTGGTTAAACCTTTTGAAACGATGAAACTTCGCTACCAATTTATCTGAATTCCTCAATCGTATATAATTTACGCGTAATGGCAGCTTAGTAGTTGCCGTTTCCTCGAACGATAGCAATCGTTAGTTTCAGCTGATATTCCACTTCTGAAAATTATCCTTCCACAACAGACATCAAATTCCTTAATCGTGACGTATTTAGTTAATTCCTATAGCAAGCGCTACATATTTTCGTACTGGCGGCACTGCCATGGTACGTCGAATGGTCACACTTAAATTTCCGCTACTTGAATTCAGTCAAATGTACAAAGTCTCAGCGGGGGATCGGTGAATAATTCTCGAGTCTATGGTGTTTAATGAATTCACACTTTTGAACGTGAACTCGGTCGACTCGGTGAAATCGCAAATCGATTCTTTAAGACTAAATTGCGCTATTATATTTGAACAATGTAAATACGATAGTTTTATATTTTGTATTTCGACAAATACAATTAGTTTGACGAATTGAAATGACGAAATTTTTTTCGCGTCTTCCAGCTAGAGATTCTTCTTCCATTCTTTTCTTTCGTCCTTTTTTCGCGTCCAATATTCATCGCCGTAATTAATAATCGTCATTCGATGTTAGCAAATAGAAAAGAGGATATATCGACTGTCAAAGACGTTATGAATTTTCCAGACGGAGCAATATTCATTGTCTCATCCGCATAAGTAAATCACGTTTGAAAAATGAATGCAAAGTACCGTAAAGAGCGCAATTGAAGAGATGTTTCAGCGAAGAAGTGAAAGATTTTTATGGAAGAGAAATTGATAAATTACCAGAAAGGTGGGGCATGGTCGTACATAATGACGGTCATTATACAGCAATTTAACGAGAAAGGTAAACGCATTGCAACATACACCATCGTTCGAGAGTATCGGAGTGCGTACTTATTTGTTTCTTTTCCTTCTTACAGGACTTCTTCGTGAAATTATAGATCAAGAGACCATAATGATTTTATTATTAATATTATTATTGCTTTCGTAGAATATTATTAAGTTAAAAAAGATAATATTTGATATAATTAACGATCATACGTCGTTTAATTATTTCAAAAGTTGTTTTTCATTTATTTTTCATCTTCTAATGTCGGGTTGTTCCTTTCATTGGAAAAGTCGAGGAAAAATTCAGAGATCAATTTCGATCGGAGATCTAATTGAATTCGAACGAGATTAAAATAGAATCTAATTGAATCGAAATAAGATCTAAGCGAAGAAATAGAAAATTCAAACGACGCAGACTTTTCTGAATGTCATTTGAATTTCATTAAGATTACTCGCACTCGAGCAAGCTAATTAACTTGTCCGATTGAAGTCGAACGAGTATTACACGAAGTTTATCGGTGGCTTTAAATGGTAGTTTCCGCACTGTCGAATAAAAGGGTCGCTGGATTTCTCGCGTAAAGAGAGAAGTATTTACCTGATCTCCTTTAGAAGTCTGGTCGAGATGTTCTCGGTGCAGACGTAGTTCTCGATATACCTGTGCTGATTTTCAGGCAGGCTACAATTAATGCTAGGCACACAAAGAGTCATGAAATGGGGTCTCAGTCGGCCGATCGTGTATTTGGCGATGTCGGTGATTAAAACAGTCGTTGCTGCTCCAAAACCGAATACGCCAATCTGAAATATCAAAAATATTACTGTGAGAATCTAGTACGAATTATGAGAATTATACAAAATTATAAGAATTGTGAAAATTGTAAAAATGTGTTGTAAAAAGTGCGTAAATTACAATAATATGATTATAAACAATGTTACAAAGATTTTTATTTACAGATAGCACGCGCGAAGGAACTAAGAAAGAATTCTCTATTATAAAACAAACGCATTTTAATTTTTAATAAGGTTAAAGTAAATTGAGACATTTGAGTGTTCTTTAAAATTCGTTTCACAGAAATACAATTCGTTTCCATCTTTCTAATATATAATAATTACTGTTATTGTTACTGAATCTAATAATCACTGTTATTCTTGAATTTTGGAATTTTAAAGACATCTGAATAAACATCTTATCGTATAAGTTCGGTCTTTAAAACAGAACTGTATGCGTTCGCAGATTTCCTTCTTTCTAATATATTTGCAACAAATAACGAAGAATCTTCCAAATATTGACAGAAAAGCGTGCGTTTCAGAACTGTTCTCACGAAGGTACACATGGGAAAGAAAGGTGTTAATAAGCGTGGGAAGAAAGGTTCTTCTTAAGATGGTCACGAGCTTTCCTTGGTTCTACCGTGTGATTTTAGGATCCTATCTGTTTACTATTTCATTTCTATTTCATAGTTTGAATATCTATGGAAGAAAAAAGACTTAGTACATCGTATGCTATTGAATATCTATGAAACAAAAAGGAGTTGATACACTTTATACGATAGTAGAAAAATATCTTGAGAGGTGTACCTTTTCATATGCACCCCATAACCATGGTGGTATGTTGTAGCCAAACAATATCTTCGTCGAATCCGCGTCACAATGCCTCGCGTAAAGATACTCTCCGATTATCATCTGCAACAAAATTTTTCCTTATAACGAAATATCACACTTTATGGTTAAATGACGACCAAGACACATTTTTTTTTCTCTTTGACACATTTACTACGTATGTCTCGTATAATCTGCGTCGGTACATACTTTCACGATATCTACGACGATACGAAGTTTTAAATGGGAGATATAGATTAGAAATCACGATGGTCATTTGTACAAGGTATTTCAGTTTCTTCCGGTCAAACTGTGGCGGGATATTTTATGGACATAAATGAAAGGAAAATATCCCGCTGCTTTAAAATATTCAGTGGTAAAAAATTAAATTTACTATCCAACCAAGTTCAGTCTTCGCGAAGAACCTGGCAAGTAGGTTCAAACATTCATCAACTGAATTTAAAACGCAAATAAACTAAAAAACTAAACGATACTTTTACTCTGAGAACGCATAATATTTCCAAATATAATAAAACCTCGAGGCGACGAATCACATGTCACGAAGACATCGGTAAATGGTAAAAAATATTAAACAGAAATCACACAAGCTACAAGACGTTTCATTAAATTGTTATAACGTGATTGGCTGTAGAAACTCGATCCATCTATATCAATAACGTTCTACGCAATCTTTTCCTTCCATTACCATCGAGCATCGCCTAAACTACAAATCAGTGGCTTTCTCTCTCCCTCTCAACCGCAAGAGAATGATTCGCAAAATCAGCGAAAGCTTCTGAAACCTGGCGTTTCACCGAATGACGAGCATAAAACACGCCTGTCTACCTTAGCTATCAACCACATGGAAACGAAGGTTCGCCTCGCCATAGTATAAATAAACGAATCGTTGGAAGATAGGAAAAATCGAGCGAGTCCCTTTTTCTCCCTGTGCTGTCTCGCTCTTAGAAGAAGAGGATGTCGGAACAGGTAAAAACGAGGGAACCTGCCGTTGTATTTCATTCATTCGTGTCGTCATTCGGTCTTGTATCACCTGGCGACCTTTATCTGGAATCTGGCCGGTTAACCCACTTTTTGTTGGGGCCGTAACAGATCGCTGCAAGTCGGAGGAGAGATTACCAGCTTGGAAATGCTCTCAAGAATTTCGAAGTCGTCGCCTTTTCCCCACGGGTTCTTAATCGTGGATTATGCCCTCCGGACCCTCGTGCTGCTATTGATTAATCTTCGAGGAAGAAGGAGAAGAGAACTGGTTAGGAAAACTACAGGCGAACAAGACGGACGATAAGTCACGTTATATAGAATTCTTTTCTTTCTTTCTAACCTTATGTCATTTGATCTGCCAAGGAGACGAGTCCGCCAAAGATTTATGAAATTTTATGAAACGAGCAAGAACATATTTGCATTCGATGTATATTATATTATATTATACTTAACGTCATATTCAGATTCTTCTGTACAATGGCAACGCGATATTAAAATCAGAAGGTCAACAAAAGTATACTCATCGTGTTTGCCTCTTATGATCTTCGTATTGTCCCTACGAAACTTCATCAGACTCGAGTCTTTCGACTCGACACGAGTTTATCGAGTGAGAAATATTTACCGTTCGTTTATCGAGTAATAATTATCCTTCGTCTATCGAGCATATTAATTAATTACCGTTTGTCAACCGAATAATTACCACTGTCTATCGAAGAGTTAGTTATCGTTTTGTCAACCGAAGAATCATCATCTTGTCAACCGAAGAATTTTATATCCGTCAGTCTATCAGTCGATTGTCAATATGGAAATCAAGTAAGATTTCGATAAATCATTACACATCGTTAATTTACTTTTGAACAACTTTAATCCTCTCCCGTGCCAGTATTCCCGCACACAGCAGGTTAGTCGAAAGTGGAGCTTATTGCCAATTGCACTAAACGTCGGTTAACGCTACCTTCTCGTCGGCAATTAAATAGAACGTAAGAATATATATAGATGAAATTTTTGGTTTCCACTTGACACAAGTTCCCTTCGTTTTTAACGATTTTACATTAAAATATTCCGCACGTGTGCAAACGCCTCAACAGCTAAGTCCTGGAACAGCGAAACGAAACGATACCAAGAAGATATAATACACTGACCCGTATAGTAAATTAAGATGCAGCTTTAGAGAATAAATAAACAAATAAATAGTGTTGCAGTATTAAAATTTCTAACCGTACTGTGATATTAAAATGTACACCTATGGCGTTCTTCTTCATGTGAAATCAGATTAATGGCCAACCACGTCCCTAGCCTAGAGGATTGCGGCATCTCTCGACTCCTGCGTTTTTAATTGCCTTAACGTTTCACTTTCCCTTGTCATCGTTTGATCGATACGTCGGCTATTGTAAGACGAGAAGTATGGCCACGTTAAGAGTTTGATGCGAGGGAAATCGAGGCGGTTCTGAAAGGATTGATTGATTCGTGGATGATTATGTATTTAGCCGCATAGTATATGGTTCCGCTGACGATACATGGTGAATGAAATGCTGCTGATTGTACGAAGCCGTTTATTTGCCGTTTGTAACGTGGTTAATGGATATCACGGCCGGCATTGTGCGTGGGCCGCAGTAAATTACGGTTTCTAGGATTTCCATTGAATAGTGCATTCCTATATAATCTTACTTCGTCGTGTCACGATAATGAGCAGTGAAAGGATCGGCAAGATGATGGATTGAAAAAATAGAAGGGAGAAAATAATGGAAAATATCAATTATTCGCCAATTCGATATATGTAGCGGCACATGAGTCGACGAAAGATTTGAATCGGGAGAGACTCGTATTATTGCGCCTTGGAATACCAAATGTTGTTTTGGTGTGCTAGCTTCGAAGATAAACGAACTCCGGACAAAATATTATTTGTGATCGTCGACCGAAGTTACGTTTCAACTTTTTGTGACAACGCCTGTCGATGTAAATAGACGAACGTGCTCTCTAGGACAGTCATATAGTCGAATAGTTTGTCGAATAGCGAGCGTAGAATTGGACAATAGCATTGGGCGAACGACGATTACGATTGGCATACGCTATCTCTGTACTTGTACTTACATCGATTTTAATATACACGAACTGTTACAATTTTATCACTCGTCTCTTTATTGAACAAACCAACGCGTTTAAATACCAGCTCAGGTATATTGAAATAGTGGAATTTTATGCGATATAAATTTAAAAAAGAAGAGGATCAAGTTTTGATCCAGAGATAACCAGATTCGTCTTACACGATACTCTTCAGGGTCATACCATATTTCTTTAACGTGCAATTTGAATGAAATACGTCAATTATATCTTTACGTCATTGTCCAATATAAATGTACTATTTCATTCGGGCGTATTCCAGCGAAAAATAATGTTAAATGTAATCGACGATACGAAGAATACAAAAAGTTATTTTTATAGAATTACTTTGATGTCCACGATTTTTGATGTAACACAGATGTTCCGGTTAATTAACTCCGATTCTCGTTACGTTAATTAATGCAACTCTTTTTAATGTCAATTCCCTTTTTCAACGTTATACATATCGTATTCTTTTACCAAGCAACGAGTGAATTAAAATATCAGTTTCGTCGTAAAAGCAATCGACCCATCCGCCTGTCTACCTTTCTTTGAGCTTGAGAAATAAGGGGATCAAAGCTCTGTTCCTACGAGCCTTCAGGGGTGTTACGGCGAACCCTTCTCAGATTCCTGACGAGCCAGAAACAGGTAGAAAATTCATGGCTGGATGAAACGGTTTCACGCGGACCAAGACGCAAACAAACGACTTCGGATGGAATTCTCGTGAACAGCTCGGCTTAGAAGGGGGATCCGTTGCTAACAAGGGCCTGCTTATTATTTCAAGTGCCACTATACACGTTCGCGGACAGATCGAATGGCAATTTAATCGGCGAACAAGAAAGGATTGTGTGCTTGATCGCGAAGACAATCGTGAGAAATGTTTTCCTCTCCACTGTCATTTATGATTCTCTTCTTGCTTATCGATTATTTTTTTAAAACAATACGCGCTTCCCTTTCTTATTTTCTTCATCGCACAAATGCGAGGGAACGTAGCTGTGTATTTTCTATAAAAAGGAATTCTACGAATAAAACGGATAATAATGCAGGAAATTTCGAGATAGCAAAAGTTTCAGAATTGCGATACGACGTAACAGGAAATTAATTTATGATAAAAAGATTTTGTATATCGTAGACTGTAGCGCTATGCGAGTACACAATTCTGCAGATGAGCCAACGCATCGGGCAATTTTGTGCCGTGAGTCGTTCAAATCGCCTAATATCCGCTATCCTACCAACGATAAAGAAGCATAGTCTATTTAAAGAAACAGAAATAACAGTGAAACGTTTAAAAATTCTCCCTCCTTTATCCGCTAATAAAAAGTACGGTATATTCAAAGAAATAAAAGTCACTGTGGCATCTGTAAAAATTCTGCATTTCCATTTTTACCCAGAGATACACAGCGGTATAATATATTTAAAGAAATAAAAATAATCTTGAAACCTCTAAAAAAAAAAAAGAAGAAATTACTCGCATAACTTCTCCGATACGTAACAACTTTGGTAAATAAAATCGTTTCGCATTTGTCTTCCAAATAATGGAGATACAATTAAGGCAATTAGAGTTATTGGGTCCATCCTATACGCGCTTAAGTCCATAATGACAATGTATCCAGTCATTCGTCATTAATCAATATATACGTATAACCTGTCATTCGCCGACAGTTTGACATGTATATACCACCACTGAGATATTTCTTTCAGCTTATCTACGATCGCGTTTGACCAACGAGACGAAACGAAAATGAACGAGCACGAGATTAACGAGTAGCCATATGATAAGGGAAAAGGAAGCAATATAACCGAGGAATTCAGGTGAACGACGTTATTAACACATTAAAGGACGCTGATACGGTAAATGCATAATCTATGACCAAACCGGAAAGTCACTGATGTAACAGTCGTCTTATTCTTACTATTACGGTCAATTTATCTACGACATTAGAACGGTTCTGACAATTACAAATTGACGGCGATGACTTTCATTTTGT